TTTCTTTCTTTCTTTCTTTCTTTCTTTCTTTCTTTCTTTCTTTCTTTCTTTCTTTCTCTCTCTCTCTCTCTCTCTCTCTCTCTCTCTCTCTCTCTCTCTCCCTCCCTCCCTCCCTCCCTCCCTCCCTCCCTTCCTTCCTTCCTTCTCCTTCCTTCCTTCCTTTCTTCTCTCTCTCTCTTTCTTTCTTTTCTTTCTTTCTTTTCCGAGACAGGGTTTCTCTGTATAGTCCTGGCTGTCCTGGAACTCACACTGTAGACCAGGTTGGCCTCGAACTCAGAAATCTGCTTGCCTCTGCCTCCCAAGTGCTGGGTTAAAGGGATGCACCATCACCACCCAGATTTTTTTTTTTTAATGAACACACTGTAGCTGTCCTCAGACATACCAGAAGAGGACATCGGACCCCCTTACAGATGGTTGTGAGTCACCATGTGGTTGTTGGGAATTGAACTCAAAAATTCTGGAAGAGCAGTCAGTGCTCTTTTCTTCTTTTTTTTCTTTAAAGACTTATTTTATTTATATGAGTACACTGTAGCTGTCTTCAGACATACCAGAAGAGGGCATCAGATTCCATTACAGATGGTTGTGAGTCACCATGTGATTGCTGGGAATTGAACTCAGGACCTCTGGAAGAGCAGTCAGTGCTCTTAACCGCTGAGCCATCTCACTAGCCCGACCCTGCATTTCTTCTCATCCCGATTCTATCTCCTGAGTTCCAGGATTGTAGCTGCATACCACCATGCCCGGTATATGCAGTGCTGGGATGGAGGCCAGGGTTTTGTACATACTAGGCAAGTATTCTGCCAACTGAGCTACGGCCTACTTCTCCCCTTCCTTGAATTATGTATTTAATAATGAACATGATGGTCACTGATACAGCTACTTCACAAGGCCTTGTGTGGACATGTGACCTGCCCACATTACTCCCACTTGTGGGTGGGTCACACAATTTGGACAGTCAGGCTCTGACCCTGTGAGGGTCCTTCCTCCATCCCCATCCCCCTGACATCCGTGGCCCAGAAACTGACACTGTATCAAAAAACTCCATGTTCACTTTGGCAACGGTACTTTTATTCAGTTAAAATGAATAGGCTGTGACAAACCCAAGTCAGGCCAAAGAGGCTGCCAGTCCCCTCTCCCCTAGCCTCTCTGACCAAAGGAAAATGGGATGCCACCGAAAAGCATCTCAGGGACAGAGGACACTGGCTCAGAGTGAGAAGAGCCCTAGAATCCACCTACTATTTGGGAGAAGGGACAGACTGCCCTTCCCAAGTCCACTTGGACAAGAGTCTAGGTTCCTAACAAAACGCCACAAATTCTACCTTTTTCACTAATTCTCTAGAGTTCGGGGTGGGAGTCCCTAGAGGATTTGGGGTCAAAGACTTTATGTTCTAAACTCAATTTTTTTAAAGAATACACTTAACCGTTTTTTTTTTCTTTAAAAAAGGTTCTTCTTCTGCTATTTAAAAAAATGTTTCTGAGAGTAACCAAAAATAGGTATTTGTGGTTTTTCTTTCTTTCTGTTTCTTACTTTTTAACGTAAGTAAATTCAAAGAACAATACAACAGAAAAGAGAAACAAAACGTAAACATACCTCATACAAAAATAACTCCTGGCCACCCTTGTTGACTGGGTAGGTCAGGTTACCTGTGTCCCAGAAAGCTGGGGTGCCTCTATGGGAGAGCACCCTCCATCCATACCACATAGTACATTCCAGAGACTGGGCCCTGTGTCTGGGAGAACAGGAGACAGCCCTCCAGGTTATCTCCCACCTTCCCTAAACCCAGGCAGGGAGGACGATAGGGACCCATATGGCCAGTGGGTTGTCTGAGAAGGTCAGAACAAGGTGGACACACACAGGTGGCAGGCAGGGGTGTGACTAGTTTGGGACAACTTTACTTCAAGGGACAGCTTTCCTCTTGTTTTTGGCTTGTTTCACATTTTCTCTCTGACCAGTTTCATCTCTATTTCTGTAAGCCCTCATGGTCACCTAGCTACAGCCTCCTCTGTGGGGGAGAGATAGGCCAGGCCAGGGAAGGAGGCTGGGGAGGGTCCAGTGACAACACAGGCCCACGCTGAGGGCCGTGAGCATTGAGGTAGACAGTTTCTTTCACACTTGCAGTTGGGACAGTGGTTCTTTTGGGAGTTAGTTTTTTTTTTCTTTCTTTTTCTTTTTTTTTTCCTTTTTTCTCCTTTTTTCTTTTACTCTGGGAAACAATATAGGGGGAGGAGAGTCCCCATTAAGGGGCTTGAGGTAGGAGTGCTTTCGGGCTCTGTGGGGTAGAGGCTGAGGCTACTGCCCCGCTACCCCTAAGGACATTCATTCCGGCTGAGGTAGGTGCTGAGAGTCACAACAGCTAAAATCCATCCTGAGAAAACAAGGTCAGAGCAGGGTGACAGCATCAGGGGCCGAGCCACAGCAGGGACATATTTTTGGAGTATAATTCATTTCCTCTCTCTCTTCTTTCTCTTCATTTTTTGACTTTTTAAAATTTTGATGTTTAAAGAAAAACGTTTGTTTCATAAGTCCTGTGGGCAGCAGGCATTGGTGAGGGGACGTTAGCTTGAGCAGGGGGATGCCTTGTTTGTAGGACCCATCGGTTCCTGTGGTTTGAGAACCCTGTCCTTCACTGGCGAGCTCCTAGGACATCCAAATCCCACAGAATAGGAAGAACCTTGCCTTTGACCTGAGAATGGGGTACCACCCCTTGGGACCACACCAACACTGGCTGGCTATTGTCCCCAGTAAGCTCACTGGGGACCTGGGACAGCTGGAGGCTGGGCGGTCTGTCCTTCACTGAGGAGGCCAGGGTCTACATCCTGGGGTGCTGGGACAGGCCCAGGCCCTGCACAGGGGGACGTGGCCTCAGTTGTCCTCCCTGCTACAAGGTTAAAGCCTTGAAGCTGCACCATGGAGAGCTGGATCTCCTCACACGGAGCAGGAGCTGCTGGATCCTGAGGAGGAAAGGGTCATGTATGGAAGTCAGTATCAGAGCCAGAGGAAAGGACCAGAACCCATCCCACCCCAGGGTGTAGGTTCAGCAGACATGTCTAAACTTCTGGTACGGCAGTGTGCTGTCATCAAAAAGATCACGCTAGTCAGTCACGCTAGTCTATCAGTGAAGTGACAGGAAAAAAAATACTTTCTCTTTTTCCCTTGAGGGCCTCACTATGTAGCATTGGATTGTCAGGAACTTGCTATATAAAGGAAGTTGGCAGATCCACCTGCCTCTGGTTCCTGCTGGGATTTAAGGTGTGGACCACCAGACTGGAAATCGTAAACTTTTTTTTTTTTAAAAAAGGGTATCATGTAGCTCAGGCTTGCTCTCTCTGTAGCCGAGGATAATCCTGAAACTCTGATTTTCATGCCTTTGCCTCCTGAGTGCTAGGATTCCAGGTGTGCAGTGCTAGGATTCCAGGTGCATCCTGTTTTAGTAAATCTACGATTTTGTCTTGGACCACATTCGAGAGCAGAAGCATGTGGGTTGCAGGCTAGCCAGACATGCTTGGCCATCCCTAGGCCTCCCAGCCTGACTCAGGACCTGAGGAGCAGCACCGACAGGAGTTAGAGATTATGTCCTGTGCCCAAGATGTAGGGAGGGGCAGCACTGAGGGAGTCAGAGACTGAGGGAGATGGGTTGGAGGTGTGGGCACTCACCGTGGGCCTGGAGCCTGGCTGCCCAGCTGACCCAGTGGTGGGGAACAGCTGCTCCAATTCCTTGGCATCCACATGCTTTTCATCTCGGTCTGGCTGTCCCCCTTCTCCTCGGCTCACTCCATTCAGGGCCAAGATACCAGGGTCCCTCTGGCTCCGGGGACCCTGGGGAGGGGAGAGCTGGTTTTCCACATCCTTACACAGGAGGACCCTAAGAGGTGAGCCAAATGTTAGGGGAACACCATCAGGGATAGAGACAGAGGACTGAGGCGCCGGGTCTGTCACCTTCCACTGTAGCCGCTCCTCCCCAGACTCAAACTCACCTGCCCCTCTGGCCAAACAGAAGGAAGAGGACACAGAAGATGATGCAGGTGACTCCAATGTGGATGCCGATAACAATGCCTGTAGTGGATGTATGGTTGGTGACGTCTTCCTCCCGGCAGTCACACAGGGGAGTCAGGGCTGGAGGGGAGGGCAGGTTGGGCACGGGCTTGCCTGGCCTGAAGCAAGACTCCCCAGCGCTCGCTCTCTCTCTCTCTCTCTCTCTCTCTCTCTCTCTCTCTCTCTCTCTCTCTCAATCTCTCTCTCTCTCTCTGCTTTGGGACCCTAGCTCAGTCCTCTGGTCCTTTCTAGTACTTGCTATGACAGCAGCTCTGTGCCAGCTAGCGGGACCAGTGCTGTTTATTTTGAGACAGGGTCTCATGTAGCCCAGGCTGGCCTCAAACTTGCTATGTAGCAGAGGATGACCTTGAATTTCTGATCCTCCGCTTCCTTCCTCCTGAGTGCTGTGATTAGAGATGCTATGCCTGGTTTCTGTCCCACTGGGGGTGGAACCCAGGGCTTTGTAAGTACAAGGCAAGCACTCTATCAACTGAGCTATAGTCCCAGCCAGGACCAGCTGCATCTTGTTTTGGTTTCATGGACCAGTTCATCCTGGCCCTAGTTTTATAAAGTAGGCATCCTTAACCTTGTTTCATAACAGAAAAAACAAAACAAAGCAAACAACAACAAAACAACAAACAACAACAAAACAGGGTCCAGAGAAGTTAAACATCGTGTCCAAGGTCACACAGCTGAAAGCTGCTTCGTTAAACTTTATGCTTCCATCTAAGCTGTGTGCCTGAGGCTACCAGACACTGTGCTGTCTCCCACCCTGCTTACTACACACCCTCCTCCCTGCAGGCCAGGCTGCCCTCACCTGTTCTCTCAGAGGCTCCCCTCAAAGACACAAATCGGACCGTAGCGTTCCCATCTCCATGCTGGTTGTAGGCGAGGAGCTTCACCTCGTACACGGTGCTGGGGTCTGCAGGAGGCGGGGCTTCTGAGAAACTTCCCCTTCTGTGCCGGTGGAAGGGAAACCACCCCTGGCCCCCAGTACCACACCTTGCCCAGCCCCACACCCTGCAGGCCTCACCAAGCTGGCTGAGGTTGTAAGAGGAGACGGTTCCAGGGAGCAAGATGGGGCCGGTGAAGGAGGCTGTGCTGGCTGGGCGGTAAAACAGCTTGAAGCCTCCGTTGTGTTGGGCCAGCCTTGGCCAGGGCTTCCACAGCAGCTGTAGAGAGGAGCTGCCCAGCAGCCGCACAGATAATGGGGGCGGGACAGGGGCTAGAAAACCGAAATGTGAACTGTCAGTGGGACCGTTCTCTAGCTTTCCACCTGTGACCTAGAACCCAAGATCCTGACAACCCCCTGGTCTCTGGCAGAGGGTATGCTCTTGCTCAGGCAGCATCTCTCAATGAATCAGAAAAGGCTGCCCCTTCCTCCCAACACAGCCAGCCCCTGCTCAGCCTCAGGACCAGGCACCTCGTTCAGCAGACAACCTGAACAGGTAGGTACATGTGATGGTTCTGCTCCGATAGCCTGAGCTATCCTATACTCCTCACCTTCACCCAGGGTGCTGGCCAGGGTGGGGACAGAGGCTAGACTGGCCCCCCGCGGTGTGTAGGCTTTGATGTAGAAGCTGTAGGCTGTGGAGGGCTCGAGGTCTCTCACCAGGTGCTGAAAGGTGCTCTTGCTCACAGCTTCCTGGTACTCCAGCTTGGGTGAGTCTGGAAGGCGAAGGGTAGGGGGTGTTAAGGAATATGAGGGAGTCTTTGAAGCTTCGGTGAACTGAGGTCAGGAAGCAGGGTGCCGAAGGAAGGGAAGGTGTTAGGTCAGGACGCTGTGTGTGGTACAGAGGGTTAGCTATGGTGAGGGAGGATGACATAGCTCTCCTGAGGGTCACTACCCACCGGCAGCCTTCCTGATGTGCAAGACATAGCCAATGATCTCCTTGGTATGGGCCAGGGGCTCACTCCAGGACACTCGAACCTCAGTGGAGGACACAGAAACAGCACGGACATCGCGTGGGGGGCCTGGCAACCCCTCAGCCCACAGCACGGTCAGCCTGGCGCTGGCTTGTGAAGAGCCAGCAATGTTCTCAGCCACACATTGGTAGATGGCTTCGTCTTCAGGACCGACTCCAGAAATGCTCAATGTGCTGCAGGGGAAGGAGAGCCTCAGAGACGAAGAGACTAAATTCCTCCTTGTCAGAGCAAGACTTGTCTGCGCAAGGGCGACGCTCCAAGTCCCCCGACTCCCATCACTTTCCTTTGGCTAGAGATACACAGTATATTTGGGCTACTTATTTTAGACCACTGTCTCTCCCCAGGATAGCATCCCAATACACACATACACACACATACACACAAACACATACACACAAACACACACATACACACACATACACACACGTACACATATACATACATATACATACGGATACACACATATACACACACATACACACATATACACACACACACATACATACACAGACACACACACACACACATACCTGTTATTGTTCTTGAGCCTGACATGACCTCCTGCCCCCAGCACTTGTCCATTCTTCAGCCATGTGACATGAGGCGGTGGCTCACCCTGAGCTTGGCAGGTGAACATGGCCGTGGTCCCAGCAGGCCTCGAGATGGACTGAGGATGCTGGACAAACTCTGCTGGAGCTGAATGGGAACAGAGAAGCACGCAGCATCATAGGGGTCATGTCACGTAGCAAGAGATGGGGGACAAACGTGAGTGAGGGACTGGAATGGGAGGGGTGGTGGGTCAGAGAAGACGACTCCCAGGAGGCCAGTAGAGGCTCCGCGTCTTCTTCCTTCACCCCAGCATCTAGGAAGAGGACTCCATCTTAAGGACTATTCAAAAGACTGACATCTATATCCGAAAGCAATCAAGCTGAGCTGCGTGCTCAGGAAATTGTTAAATAAATAAATGTGTTAATAGGGCTGGCTGCACCTCCACGGCTGTAATGACAGGAGATGGATGAGCCCCCACCCCCTTCACCACCTAATTCCACTTCCTTCCAATCCCCGGCTTGCTCAACCCTCTATTAACAGTCAAGAACGGGATACTCCATCACTTTCATGTGGGCAGATTAACGGCACATAGCATGCTAAACAAACAGTATTTAGGTTCTCGGTCCACCATTTCCCATCTCCTGTTCCCGGGCCACAGGAGGAGCCGGCCAGGGGGAAAGCCCTGGAAATAGAAATTGAAGCCGACTGCTGTGGGCTGCTCCACATCTTTTGAGCAAGGTCAGGGGCTGCTGTGTGAGAGGGAGATGACAGGTACAGTGGAGCACGCAGCAGGGGTGTGTGAGCGTGGAAGTGGCACACGTGTGAATGAAACGGCTCCACGGGAAGGAACATGTGTGAGCCAGGGGAATGACCCGCTGAGATCATGGGCCGCAAGTCTGAGAATGCCACAGCCCTCTGGTGCTAATACTCATTTTCTGGGGGTGAGTGGGGAGTCCTGCTGTCTTTGAGCTGGCCACAGATTTATGAGAGGTAAGGGTTGGGGCCACGGTGAGGACAGGGCTGGGGTGAGAGAAGGTTCTGGTCTCTGGCACAAACCAGAGATGCTGAGGGGGCACAGGAAGGGTTTGGCTGCTCCATACCTTGTACCACCAGCCGACCCTGGGCTGTCCTCCTCACCCGGGTGCCAGGCCTGTTGGCTGCACAGACATAGACACCTGAATGCTGGACGGTCACATCCGAGATGATGAGGTTCCCTGTGCCTAGCACCTGGATGCCCTCCACTCCAATGGGGCGGCCGTCTGCAAAGGAAGTGGAGGGGGAGTGAGCTGTGTGAGGAAGACAGGAAGGATAAAAGTATTCCAGAAGGCTCACCCCTCTACCAGTCTTTCAGAAAGCCCCCACCTATGACTTTGACACCATCTCTCCCCAGATCTCTAAAAGTGGCAGGAAAATGTGTAGCCCTGAATGAAGCCCCGCAGCAGGAGCCACTGTTCTGATTCTGGCATGATGACTGCTAGCTGGTTTTGCTGTTGTTTGCTTTGTTTTTAGACAGCATTTCACTGCATAGCCCGGGGTGAGATCCTTCTGATTCAGCCTCCCAGGTGCTGGGATTACAGACCTTATAGTCCGATCATTCTCAACCTGTGGGGTGTGACCCCTTTGGGGGGGGTGTCTAACCCTTTCACAGGGATCGCCTAAGACCTCTAGGAAACATGGATATTTACATTACAGTTTTGAAGTCGCAGTGAAATAATTTTGCGGTTAGGGGGGTCACCACAACATGAAGAACTGTATTAACGTGTTGAAACATCAGGAAGGTTGAGAACCACTACCTTAATTCCATAGAGGATTAGATTTTGATCAGCAGTTGTTAAGTTCTGCGGCTGGATATCTGTTCTATCTAGGTTGCTGAGGCACATGCCCAGGAATAAAAAGGCTCTGGGAAGTTCCTCAGCCTTGGTTAACTTCATTCCCCACACGTATTAGGCCCCTGACCTATTCTTTCTCTCCTGCTAGGCCATACTTTGGGAAACGATGGAGCAGATGGCCCCTGAAGTGTCTAGTGGCTCCTGATGGTAGCCTGCTCTTTCCAGCCTCTCCGTGGACCCAGGCCCTCCCCCCACCCCAGGGATCAGATTAGCACAGCCAGAACACAAGGAGACAGCTCCCCATTCAGGCCCTGAAGTGGTGAAATCTACTCCATTATCCCACACAGCCCCTCCTTCCCCCAGCACTCAGCTGCTGGTGTGGCACGGTCTCCCTGTGAATGTGACCCCACCCCACCCCCTCTAGAGGCTCCTTCCCCCAGTGACCTTTCGGCTCAGACTAGTGGCCCATCTGCACCCTTTCACCGCTTTCTTCAGCTGCCTGGGGATTCTGACTGAGCAGACTTGGGAGCAGGGGAGCGCGGCGGGAGGGGAGGGGGAACGGGGCGGGGCAGAGCCACGGTGGGATCCTTGCTGAGATTTTGAAGGCTGAAGATTGCATAGCGGGGGTGTGACCAGGCACAGAAGGTGGGGTGGGAGGCACTGGGTGCTGCAGAGAGTTCTAGGGGCTAGAGAGACTGGACTGCCTGTACTCGGTAACCCAGGGAACTAAGCCAGCCCCGCGGGGAGAGAGAGAATGTAGCAGCAGACTGACCTCCAGAGAAACACAACCCCTCCCCAGGCCACTGGGAGGGGATCGGATTGACCCTTGCGGAAAACAAATACAATGTAAAGCCCCCCAGAGCTGGGTGATGAGACCGTGAGACCAGCCCTCCCAGGGGGGTAGGCTGGCCAAAGCGTAGGGACTGTGGATAAGGCTCACCCAGGCGGCTCCAGGATACAATGGGGCGCGGGTTGCCCGTGGCGACACACTCCAGCACTGCAGTCTGGTGCACTGTCAGGGTGAGGTTCTCAGGCCCCACAAGGATGGTGGGCTCCTTGTAGGTTCCAGGGCCTGAGCCTGGGAGGAGAAACACGCATTTCCTTATTTCGGTTGGAAACTTTTTCACTCACTCACTCACTCCTGCCCACGCATGACCCAGGATACACACCAAACCCCAACCAAGTTCGGAAGACAAGGAAATGTTGGGGAACCTGGGTCCTGACAACCGTCCTTCCTCTCCCAGCCAGGCCTCTAGCATTGGAAGAGCCCATGGAAGACATGCTTGGGGGTGTGTGGTGGGGGTAGAGACCAGCCTCGGGCACCTTCAGCTTGTGGGCTTGTGCTCCTAGGGCCTCTGTATTTACTTGGTCATACTGTGAAACTGGGTCTGTCTGGGAATAGACCAACTGGGATGGCTGAGAAAACCGGGCAGGCCAAAGGAGCTCACCTGACACGGTGAGCCTGGCCCCATGGCTGACCCGCACACTAGCAATGTTTGAGGCCACACAATGGAAGACACCGCTATCCTCAGTTCGAAGTCCTGTTATCTGCAGGACCCCCTTGGGCAGTAATGTGTACCTGTGAGGGAAGGGCATAGGTGATAACCAGCACAGCCATTGCAACCTCAAGCCATGGGGACATAAACCGAGACATGGGCACTAACCCAACCTTATTGCTGTGATCACAGATGCTTACTGGGACCCTCCCAGGTGGACATACCCTCCTAATCTTGATAGCAACACACACAATATTCCCACAGACCCTCAGGAGCCTAAAATCTGGGCCCAGTGAGCCACAAGGACCCAGAGTTCTGACTGCAGCTTACACAAGTAGCACTGTCCCTGCACTGGCGGTATACACAAGGCTGCCATAGGCTCCATCCCAAGTCAGTTTCCCAGTTATCCCCTGTGCTTTCCACAAGAGGCTCACCTCTCGTTGTCCGTGTCAATGGGGACTCTGTTCTTCTCCCATGTGATCAGGGGCTTGGGAAGCCCATGGATTTGGCACTGGAAGCGGGCCACACCACCCTCCTCACCCACGACGGCCTGGGGGTGCACGTGGAAGTCGGACATAGCTGGGGAGACAGATAAGGGGCACTGTGAGGTGCAGAGAGAGAAAGAGCTGAGGGGTCACCCTCTGAGGAGCAGAGTCTTCTTGAGGCAGGACAGTAGCTTAGGGGACATAGCAGCCCTTCTTTCAGCCCTCCTCACCACGGGTAGGCACGCTCCAACCCGAGTTGACATAATCTTTAAGATACCCGGAAAGGAGACATTGAGATAAGATGTGGTCACTACAAAGCTCATACGTGAGATCCACAAGAGTTACCAAAAGAAGGCCAAAACAAAACAAACCAAAACAAAACACCCATAAAGGTTCCCATAATGGTTTTTTGTTTGTTTGTTTGTTTGTTTGTTTGTTTTTCGAGACAGGGTTTCTCCGTGTAGCCCTGACTATCCTGGAGCTCACTCTGTAGACCAGGCTGGCCTCGAACTCAGAAATCCCCCTGCCTCTGCCTCCCAAGTGCTGGGATTAAAGGCGTGTACCACCAGTGCCCGGCGCCCATAATGTTTTAAATACATTTACAACATTGTACCAGACTGAATTCATGGCTTCCCCTTGGCCATAGGGTGGACATGCCTGGCAGACCAACTCCAGGAGGATGAAGCTCTAACAAGATATGTGTAGGTTATGGGAGACTTCCATAGGAGGGAAGGGTCTCTCAGACCTCACTCATGGAGGCCTCCTAGAGACAGGCACTTCCCCCAAATTGGCTAGTATATTTTTATCTGCTGTGACCTGAACAGTAAGAGCCACATTCTACAGAAGTAGAAACCGAGGCCCAGAGAAGGAGCTGGTTTATCCACCAGCTACCTAGTAGGGTCAACGTTAATAGTAGCTTTGCCAGACTCTGCTTGTCAGGGTCCAGTGGCTGTTTTTCTTTTCCTTCCTTCCTTGTTCTCTCCCCCTACAGTTCCACTAGCAGTTTCCACTAGCGCCCCAAGAGGGTAGTGTATCCATGCAAGGTGACAGGCCCTCTCAGAAGACTGTCAAACCTTCCAATCTACATTTCAATGTGTCATAAATATTCAAGGACTCCCTCCCCATCTTTGAGGGGGGGAGGGATCAGACTCACACTTAAACTCTGATCTGCAGAGGGGGCCAAGGTGCCCCCTTGTACCCCCAGCTGGTTAAGTGTTCTTCCCACCCTGTTCCCACCCTGGCTTAGGCCCACACTGCAAACCTGGAGGGAAAGCCCCTCCCAAGTGAGTTCCCAGCTTCAGCGCTGGGACTGAGATTTCATTAAAATCCACTTTGCTTCAAGTGCAGGAAGGCGGTACACCATCTGTCCAGGCTGCAGCCCCTCCCCTCTGGCACTCCATCAATTGGGACAGTGGTTCCCTCCCAGAAGGAGTTCCCCCCCCCAGCAGCAGGGACCCCCAGAGCTTGTTGTTGGCTGTTCCTGCTCTGGGCTCCCTGGCATGCCTAGACAGCTCTCCTCATGGCCCCAGTGTTCCCTCTCAGGCTCCCTCAATCCACAGTCCTGTTCTGGACTCCATGGCAGCTCAGCAGCTTGAAAAGATGAGGCCGCGCCTTTGTGCCTTCCCCTCAAGAGTCTCTGGGGGCTGGCTCCTTTGTGGCCATCCTCATCTCATTTGCATATGGTTCATTAAATATAAACATGCATAAAAATCCCCTTCCCAGCCTCCTCCTCTCCGATAGCCTCCCGGGACTGTGGTAGATGGGTGTACACAGCTCCTTGGACATGTGTTCTGGGCTGCATGTTTGCTGGGAAGCCTGGCACTGTCTCCTGCATGTGGCCTGACCCCATCTGGACCACAATAGGGGTTCGAATGGCCAGCTACCATGGCAGGTGTGTGTTTCTGGTGTTGTGAAGGTGATTAATCAGGAGTATCTCCCTGTGGGTAAAGTTCTTGTGGACAGCATTAGGGGCCTGGGTTTGGGAGGGGAAGGCGAGTGGTCCAGTTGGGCTCCCCATCAGACTTGATGAGAGAATCCCCTGGGAGCATCCAGAGGTCAGCCTGCCCTGCCCCAGGCCAAAGGCTATGCTTGGCCAAAGGCCTGTGGGTCAACCTAGGGCTCAGGAATAGTAGAAGAGGCTCTGGGGCTCTCCACAGCTCAGCCTCCAGGAAGGTAGGACTGGAGACAGATCTTGGGGGTGGAGGAGAGAGAACCCAGGCTCCAGAGTCTGCTATCTTACCCCTCTCACTCAGACCCTGCCTATGTAGGAGCTGAGATCTCCTCCTCACTCCAGCTGGAAAGGCACAGTAGCTCCCTACAGGCCTCCCCCACCCCATCCCCAACCTGGGGCTAATGGTTCTGCTGACTGCAGATGCCGCCTCATTACAGAAACATTTTTGCCTCTAGTCCTCAGTCTGGACTCCATGAAGGTCCTCCTAGAATTGGCTTCAGGAGAGGCAGAAGAGGCTGCTGCTTCTCAGTCCTGGGTGCTGGGATGGAGGAGTCTGGCCTCTGCTGGGCAGCCCTCCCTCACCTTCCCAGCCTCAGAAGGAGACTGTCAGTACAGCAGGGTTGAGTATAAAGATGCTAAAAAGGAATCCCAGTGCTGGAAGGGGCCGGACAAGGAGTCAGTCCTCACACCAGTAGGATCGCTGGACCTACCTGCCTGGCCCTCACTGCCTGCACCAAAGTGACCCTTGCAGTCCCTATGTCCTGTGCTTACTAACACACTCACTCTGAAGGGCTGTTTTGCTTGTCTAGAAATGCTAGAAAACCATTTTGAACTGAATCCTTATGTCTTGCAAAAGGGGCACTGAAAACTAGGACTTCTATGTAGTGGGGTGAGAGGTGGGAGATGAGGAGTGTCCCTTAGTACCCCAGCCTGGGAAACCCTGCAGCAAACTGCATGTTAAACCAGGCTTTGTTTCTTCTTCTTCTTCTTCTTCTTCTTCTTCTTCTTCTTCTTCTTCTTCTTCTTCTTCTTCTTCTTCTTCTTCCTCTTCCTCTTCCTCTTCCTCTTCCTCTTCCTCTTCTTCCCCTTCCCCTTCCCCTTCCCCTCCTCCTCCTCCTCTTCCTCCTCCTCCTCCTCCTCCTTCTCCTCCTTCTTGCCACCTCCTTCTCTTTCTCTTTCTCATCTTCCTCTTCCTCCTCCTCCTCTTCTTTTTCTTTAAGATACCATTTATTTTTAGCAGGGCAGTGGTGGTGTATGCTTTTAATCCCAACACTTGAGAGGCAGAGGTAAGCAGATTTCTGTGAGTTTGAGACCAGCCTGGTCTACAGAGCAATTTTCAAGATAGCCAGGGCTATACAGAGAAACCCTGACTTGAAAAACCAACCAACCAACCAACCAACCAAATAGATATTATTCATTTAATTTTATTTTATGTGTAATGAGTATTTTCCCTGTATCTCTGTCTATACACCAGTTATGTACCTGTTGCCCAAATAGGCCAGAAGAGGGCGCCTGATCACCTGGAACTAGAGTTTCAGACAGTTGATAGCTGCCGTGTTGGTGCTGGGAATTGAACCCAGGTCCTTTGCAAAAGGAGCCAGTGTTCTTTGCTGAGCCATCTCCCCAACCCCAAGCAGCCTTTTCTCTCTCTCTCTCTCTCTCTCTCTCTCTCTCTCTCTCTCTCTCTCCCTTCCTTCCTTTCTTTTTCAAAGATTTATTTATTTTATGTATACGAGTACACCTTAGTTGTTGTCTTCAGACATACCAGAAGAGGGCATCAGATTCCATTACAGATGGTTGTGAGCTACCATGTGGTTGCTGGGAATTGAACTCAGGACCTCTGGAAGAGCAGTCAGTGCTCTTAACCACTGAGCCATCTCTCCAGCCCCAAACAGTCTTTTCTTAATGCCTAGAGGACAGGTCATGAGTACAGATAGAGTTTGTTTCTCAGCTTCCCCTGGGGTCCGGCTGGCCGTTCAGGGGTGATCTTGCTCTTGTCACCAAGCCTTCTGCTCCCTTCCCCTCTCCTCTTTACATCCTTCACTTACTCTTTGCTCAGCCCCGAGGCTTGCAGAGAGCTTGCAGCCTAGAAGCTTGCCCCTAGTTTTCACAGAATGAATGAAGGAGTAAGTGCCCTCAGATTCTGCTCTTACCTTTGCTACAGTCTCCAGGCCAGAGAGCCTGCTCAGCTTAGCTGGAGTCCTGAAAACTTCTGGGCACTCCTGGCTCTCAAACAGACTTGAAAGCTCTTCTGGGGTTAGGGTAGAAGTCCTGTCTGTCTGTCTGTCTGTCTGTCTGTCTGTCTGTCTATCTCTCCTCTGTGTGTGTATGTGTGTGTATGTGTGTGTGTGTGTTTTGTTTGTTTGTTCTGTTTTTTAAGATAGAGTTTGCTACACAGCCCAGGCTGGCCTCAAACTCAATGCAATCCTTCTTTAGCCTCCCCTGTGTTGGGATTCTAGGCATGTGCTTCCATACCCCATAGAAGTCTGTTCTCAGCAATGTACACTGTAATCTAGGTATTTGGGAGGCTGAGGCAGTATGATCTTGAATTCAAGCCTGGCTTGGGCTACACATTAGGATTCTGATTCTGAATTAAAAATGAAAATACAGTCTCCTCGTGTTTGGGCTTAAGATAGCAGTGCTGGGTTCCTGGGTACTTGTATGTTATTAACTTTCCAGGGAAAGGTTCCTGGGCACATGTGGAACATCAGGCTGCCAGCAGGACCTCTGAGTTCCCTGAAGAAGTCATCACGGAGGTCACCATGTGGTTGATGACTGTGGAGGCTGGTTGCCGAACAGTGCCATGACCCTGGCCGTCGGTGCTTTCCGTTTCTTCAGACACTTGTTGGTCCTCTGAGGACAGTTTGGGTTCCTCACTTCAAGCTGGGTGACAGGAGCAGTAATGAAGTAGGTGGGAACACTGACAGCTGTGAGGCCCAAGGAAGCAACAGGGGAAAGGTGGTGGATAGCAAACATCCCGTGTCCACGCACTTTTGAAAAGTGTCTTCCAGATTCCCTGACCCACCATGAGTACGACAAGTTATGGCAGAGACTAGAGGGATAGAGAGTGAGGCCAGCAATCCTTGGTTGGAAGGGAATAGAAATGACAGGAAATGGTCCTGGACACCCCTATAAATCACCCA